GAATTGATTGGATGATGAGGACTCTGATGTTATGAATAGATTAATCCATTGGCTTGTTTATAATTTAAAACAGGCCCTAGGGTGGAAATCTTAGGGATGAGGCCTGCTGAGAGGAGTAAATGGCTGAAAGTGTGCCTTGGAAGGGTGTATTCTGTCCCCAGCACCTTGTCTGTCCTTTCTGGCCACCTCCATGTGCTCCCACCATGGCACCCACAGGCCTGGGAACAACAGCGCCAAGTGACCATGGACTGCAGCCTCTGAAACTGTGAGCCAAGAGCAACCTTATTTCCTTTAAGCTGATGTTTTCAAGTATTTCGTCACAACAGCAGAAAGTTAATACAGAGCAGAAGCGTGATGCAGGAAGACTAGAAATGGAAAGCAATCTTACCTGACTGTGATGGGCATGTCTTACTTGGTGGTTGTTTTGTTTTGTTTTGTTTTGGGGACACGGTCTCACTATGTAGTTCAGACTGGCCTCAAACTCACTGTGTAGCCCAGGCTGGTCTCAAACTCACGGCAGTCCTCTGCCTCAGCTTTCCGAGCGCTGGGATTACAGGCATGCACCACCGTATCTGGTGGACATATCTTAATTTTGTAAATTTTATATAAATGTGTTCATGCAAATAAATCGCTGGAGCTGTAAGTGCAGTGCCCCAAACTTCAACCTCCTCAGCTGTATGGTGAATCCTTCCTGCTCGCTGTATTGACGCCTGTCACAAGCATTCCTTCCCTCTGTCTGCTTCTGTAGAAGGCTGAAGGAAATAGCGATTTGAGATGGCTTCTACTGCCTGTACTATCTGGGGAGAGGCATTCCAGCACCTCTGGTTGAAATTCTGAATAAATCTCATCTTAGAGAAGCACTGTTACCCTGTGTACGAAGTGTTTCTTTCATTATGGGTTAGCTAAAACTTTATCAACAGCTACCCTGGGTACCTTGCCAGAACAAGCAAATAGTTTTGTTTTCATGGGAACGTGCATGTAAGTTTGCAAACATCTGCTCCACACATGAACTCTCCTGTAAATGGTGGAATGTCGGCATGAACTGCAGGGGTTTGGAAGAGGAGGACACACAAATTCAGGATGTATTGGACTCGTTTGGTTGATTTGCTTGGTACTTTTATTATTCTACTTATTCAAGTTAAGTTTCTTGCTCACTTTAGGGCATAAACTTAAGAGTATCATGCTAAGATACTTGCTCTCTTTTACTTATCTTTTCTTCCAGATTTAAAACTAGTACAGGAAGCTGAGAAAAGCGTATTTTCAGCATCGTCCTTGTTTCTTAACAATCACTTGTTTCGGCTGACTGTGAAGTCATTTTCTAGGCCACCAGGACTTGGTAGATGGCGCTTGTGACTTGTTCCCTCTTTGTGTGGTGGTGGGGACTCATGGAGGCTGTGTACGTGTGTGTTAGAAAGGTGGAGAAATGAAATGCAAGCTTAAATTACCAGTTTTTTCCCAATGGCTACTGGAACACACTTCTCTGATCATACTTCAGGATTCCGGTAGCAAAACTGCTGAGAACAGAACCAGAATCTCTAGGTACCCGGCTTTGCTATTCAGAGATTTCTGAGACAAGCAATAATACAGAAATTGAAGGATGCTTTCTTCCTTCTGGTTGTCTTGGTGTTTTGCAGTTTCTTTTTTTTTTAATTTATAAGGCAGTTTATGACCTACTTCATAAGATTATAATACTGAAAACTGTGATTGTACAGGATGTAACTACCCAAATGCCAAGTAAAAAGTGTCTCAGTCATGGGGGGAAGAACTTTGATTTAGTCCTTTTATTTTTGTTTAGAGAGAATTCAGAGATTAGACAGAAATGACAGAGCAACTTGGAATTTGGTGTAAGAATGCATAAAAGTGCAGTAATTACTTGGGTTTCCACAGAATTTTTCACGTTTGCTACTATAGCAAACTCAAGTAGTGTCAAAGGAGCTATCTGTACGGAGCAAGGAGAGAGGCATGGGATTAAAAATCTTGGCAATTTTGAGTTATAGTGCTTTTTGCAAGTGTAGTATTTTTTTTGGCACTGTTTCTATAAGCCAACCAATAAACAGTATGGCACGCTTTCCTTCACTGTAACAAATTGTCTTCTACTTAAGCAAGATTTGAATGCATAGTGTGATCATCACAGCAAGCTAGGTAAAAAAGAATTTCACATGTGTAGCGCTTAAGTGAAGGGCCAATGTGCGATTCACAGTAGCAGTATTTTTTGGTATATACTGGCAGTCCTTTAAAGAGTACAAGAATAGTTTAGCCATAGGACTGCTAGCCTTAGAGGACCAGCTGGCTTATGGCTGGTTTGAAAATGTGTTTTGGCTGCTGGCTTTTGGGGACTTACTCTGTTCTGGGGAGGGAGTGTCTTGGTTTTGGTTGACCCTGCATAAAACAAAACAGTTTCTAGGGCCAGAGCACAGTGTCCCTAGGACTTATTTACAAGGGCACCAGCCTAGCCTCTTTTGCACTGTGGGGTGACATCAGGTGGCAACCTCCGGAATTGCAGCCGCTGTTGCAGGCCCACGCCCTTTTCTGCCTAGCCCTGCTGTGAACCGAAATCATGTTTTCTGATGTGAGGAAATGTTGCTTTGGATTAAGAGTTATGAATAAGAGATGAACTGTAATAAGAGATGAACTGGCAATAATGGGTCAGAGATGTGTCTGGCAGTTGAGTCCGTCACCAGCCATTGTATTTAGTATCCTTATACTCCATCCTTTGCAGGGAGAGAACTAGAAATTAATTTCCAGCTTGTCTTTACTTGGGCCAGCAATATAGGTTAGCGGCATAAGCACCTGCCTGACAAGCACGAATTCTTGAGTTCGATCCCTGCTACTAAAAAACAAAAAAAGAAAGAAAAAGGTTTCCTTTACTGGAAGAAGCTTTGGTGCAGTCTTTCAGGCTCCCAGATGGCAGCAGTTGTTGCCCTGATTGTAGGGTGTAAGGCGAATTGGGTAGTGGTTAAAGTCAAGGAATACGGATAACACAGCGGCTTCATCTAGGGTAGCGGGGCAGAGTGGGGATCTCTGTCTAGAACCGCAGAGTACTTTGGGAAGCAGGACATACGTATGAGCTAACAGTGTGATGGAGGCCACATGGTGGCTCTGGATTATGTCCAGGTTCTTGGGGAGGAGACCTGGGACTTAGGCTTTCAAGGAAAGAGAGAGCTTAGCAGTCGGGAAGGTTTTTGGGGCTAGAGGAGGCTGTGCATGGAGCTTAGTGGGGAGAGTAAGGGACCCAGTGTCTCTAAAGAGGACAGTTGGGTTCAGGAGAGCGAAAGGAGACAGTTGAGATCATTAGATTGTGATGAGCTTGGAAGGAGTTTAGCTACATTGCAATGAAGTAAGAGGGTACGTAGTTCACAGGTAAATTGATTTTCGGCTGGGTCACTGAGGCAGTTTTTGGTGCTTCACGACTTAGTAAGTATTAAAACTATAGAATCTGTGAATTGAAGAGTTTTGGAAGAATGGATCTTCAAATTTTCTTCTGTCCTCCACAATGGATAATTCGTGAAATTAAAATATTCTGGAAGGAACGTACTTTACAAGGAGACTTTTAATTACATGTAATGATACTAATTTCAAAGGAAACAACCGGCTTAGAAATTTTAATAGTAACTTTTAAGATAGAATGAAAGGTAACAAAATCAGCCTTCTGTAATGTGGGTAAGCCAGAAAAATGACAGTAGGGATACATTTGTAGTTCTTGAACATATTATGAGATGCAGAGTACCTGCCAGAGCTAGGTAGCAAAATGTTCTCCACTCTCTAGGAGCCCATGCAAAAAGGCCCCACAGCTAGCACTTCTGCATTTTATAGTGACAGATAAATAACATCAGATAGTCCCACCACTTAGTCTTCAGAAAACACTTAGTGTTCTTCTGTGCGTCCTCAAGAGAATTCTCTCAGTAGTCCCTTAGCTAATGAGGTGCCAAATGCCCATTACTTTTTATGCTGTCCCTCAACCGCCACTGTAGCATAGTGACTGGCGTGCAGTCCAGTACACACAGCTCTCTGAAACCACCCAGTCCCATTCTCTAAAGCTCTAGCTTAATGCTTGAGTAAAGTGCATCAGGAGGTGACCCAGGAGGATTGCTGGGAGTTTATGGCCGGCCTGCACAACACCAGGAGACCCTGAAGTGTAATAACGGGTAACGTGAGCCAGGTGTGTGGTGATGACTGAAATCCCAACCTGTTCTATATAGTGAGTTTGGCCACCCTGGAACATACATCTCAAGACCCAATCTTCAAAAATAATCACAAAATTTAAAGAATGTGAATTAGTAATTCTTGACCATGAATTCTTTCTGGATCACAAACTTCTCTGGGAAATGGATGATATGTCTAGGCCCCCTCCTTGGCCAATTCATGGATGTGTAATCATATCAAATTTTATATATTGTATAGGAAATGGAGAATTTTAGAGGAGTCAGATCTCTCTTTTTTGCCCCTGCCCACAACTCATCCATGGGCCGAGCACCTTCGTCCTGGATGGCAGGAGGCTGCCGCACAGGGAGACAGCTGCTCTAACAGGAAGTCCTCTCAAGGATGAGATCATCTATTTACGCTAGTTGATGAGCTCGGCAGAGCATGTCTGGACACAAGATGTTTACTCCACAGTAGCAAGAATGTGGTCAGGAATGTCATTTTTGTAGAAGGTAGCTACTACACTAAAAGGGCCCTAAATTCTTTCTTATAGCAAAGAGTATGGTGATTTTAATCTGGAGAAATTGTAGGACTGATGTTACAAAGTATCCTGAGCTACCTAAAAGGGAGAGATTATTATGATTTTTGATATTCGATATTCTTAGTAAAGAGTTTGTGAATGTCTAATTTTAAGGATTTAATTACTTGAACTTAAAATCCTGTGTAGGGCAATCACAGGAAGCTGAATGACTATTTGCTTTGAGATTGTTTGTCTCTGAGTCAGTTACATGTCGGAAACATTCATCTATCTAGTTGTATCTACTCTTAAGATTCTCATTATGGTTTCTTTTGCATTGCAGGGTTTTAATCTTGGGTGCTTCTGGCGGGGTCGGTACTTTTGCAATACAGGTAACAATTTTTTTAACCTTGTAAATAGGAAGGTTTTGTTTACATGAATTTATAAATTCGCGTTTATAAATTGCTTTTCCTTAAAAGCCAAGAGAAAGATAGTTCTTGTAAATGCATTGTAATTTAGGACTGCTGTTGCAGTAGGAACGTGCTCTAATGTAGGAGAACTGTTCACCTCTCTGGTGGTTTAACATGTGAGTGTTTGTACAGTAAATGTCAGAGAGGTCTTAGGAAGACCATGGGTGAACGTACAAGTAGGTAGATGTTTGTGGTTTAATAAACATCCAATGCCAATTAGAATTTCTGCAGGTCTTTTTGAGACAGGGTTTCACCATGCAATTCAGACTGGCTGCGAACTCACTTTGTAGCTGAGGCTGACTCAGACTCGCAGTGATCCACCCGCCTCACCCTCCTGACTGCTGGGATTACCGGCGTGTGCCACCGCGCCTGGCCTTCTGTAGGTGTTTTTTTTTTTTTTTGTAGACATTGATAAGGTTATTCTAAAGTGTATATGGAAATGCAGTAGCCAAAATACTGCTAAGACAGCAGCTCCCTCCTAGAGTGATTTTATATGTTCAGTGCAATACCAGTCAAAATGCCAACTGCCTTTTTTGCGTAAGTGGACAAGTTTATCATAAAGCATATAAGGAATTGCAAAGGTCCCTGAGGGCCAGTGTTTCCCTGGGATGGAGGCCGTGACTTCCCTTGGTGTACGTCTTGACTTTTTCTTTTTCTTTTATTTTATTTTAAAGATAGTAAAATACAACAAAACAAGGCAGAACAAAGCCAAGCAAGACAAAGCAGTGAAATTGGTACCGGGTATCAGGGCAGGATACCGAGATAACTATAATAGGCACCATAGTGTATCTCATTGTCTTCACAGTGGTTGTCCATTCAGTCAGGTATAGCAAAATCAAACCAAAAACAGGACATTATAAAACCTAGCGAAACACCATAATGAATAGAGCAAAACAATCAGAACAAAGCAAAACAGTGAAAACAATATCAGCCTTCAAAGACAAGATGAGGGAAATCCCCCGTCTGTGCTACACTGCACACGGTCGTCCTCCCAGAAGATGCTCAGACCGCTGGCCCAGGTCCGCATAATCAGCCCAGCGACACAAGCGCTTACCTGCTTTATGTGCCTTGGCTGCTGTCAACTCCGGCTGATCTAGAAACCTTCCAGTTGCTGGGGTGGGGCGGGGGCGACACTGGACGTCTGATTCCCTGCCCGGGTGCCAGCAGGCTCATGGCAGACACTGACTTACTCTCTGCCTGGCGTGCCCGAGCTCCTGCCGCTCACCAGGAAGCTGGCTCATTGCTTTCTTGGTTGGTGTCCTCCCCCCCGACTCTTTAATTTGTTTGTTCTTTCTGTGGTACTGCTGAGGACAGATATCCAAGACTGAGTTTAGGCACTTTGAATAAATATGTTTTCAATAAATAAGTAAATAAAAGAAGGAAACACAGGAGGAAAAAAGAGAAAGACCATACCTTGCTGGTTAAAGTTAAAATTGCTACCATGTAGGAAAACCACTTGGTACCATCAAATCTGCATATTCATTGCCCTGTGACAACACAATAATTCTGATCTTAGGCGTATGCCCTATTGATTTATGCAGCGTGTTTCCCGAAAGATCTGAAGCAGAATTTCAGAACCAGCCTGTTTTGTTAATGTGCCCCATTGGAAACAACACAGCCGTCCATGGACAGTAAAATGGATAGATGAGCTGTAAGAGATTCTTGTCTATCTCTTCTTAAGCCTGTTAAGTAAAACTTTCTTTAATGTAAAAACTATAATAGAAATTGTGATCACTTTATTCTAAGAGTAAAGGGGTTTATATTATCTGTGGAACAAAATTAAATGGGAGCTTAGAAGAAGACAGTGTAATGTGTCCATACATGGTCTGAGAAAGTAAATATTCTGCGACTTGCTTTTTTAAAAGGGTAAAATAGAGTATATCATATGTTAAAGTTATTTTCATGTTTTCATTAATCATATTATTAGTGATAATAGCGTGCAGGCTGTGTGTGACATACAATAGAAAAAACAGGAGGGGGATTTTCGAACATGGCGGACAGACAACAGCAGCTACTGAAGGCTCTCTAAAGGCTCGGCTCAGAGGCCAGGAATGATGCGGACTAAGGAGATACGAACCAGTAGAGATATGCTCTGCTGACTCAGGAACGAACTGGGCTGAGAGAATCCAACTTAGAATACAGTCCTGGCGCTAAAATAGGAACAGAAAAATCTCGGTGTGGAGGCTCGACCCCGCGCCATTGGAAACCGCGGTTTGGATTTCCCGCCGCCCGGCGGCTGGCTGCCTCCACAGCGGCTCGGCAAGGAGAGACGCGCAGAAGCTCGGGAACGGGAGTCTGCGAACGGAGTCGGAAACAGGACGGACAAGGAGGAAAACTGACTGGTGGCGAGGTGAGTGAGAAACTGACTCCCTACCACAGTTTGACTCCAGCAGAGGTTTTCCTGGGCTCGGGCAGTCCTGTAAGAGCAGGGCGCGGTGGCAACTGCAGCCGCACATTCCCCTCTTGGATGGGATTGGTGAAAGGTGCCTGGCCTGAGTGACGCTGCTGGCGGATTCCCTAGGCTGGCCTAACCCAGATCCCAGAGCCTGACGGTGGCCCGGAGGAGCGACCGACTCCCGCGTAGGCTGCCTCCTCCGCAACTCCCTGGGGCACAGCGGTGGGCGGGAACAACTAGCCAGCGCAATTTGATCAGGCTGTGGCTGACAGGCAGGGAAGCCGGGCCTCCTGTGTAAGATTGCATTTTATAAGGAACAGAAAATATGGGGAAGGGAAGCAACAAAAAAGGCTCCTCGGCCCCCAATCCTGAGAATCAGGCAATAGTGGACACTGCACCAATATACATTAAGCGCCATTTAGAGAGCCTCATAGACCAATTCAGGAATGAAGTTATCAATGACCTGAAGCTAGAAGTATGCAGAATAGTTAGAGAAATGCTAAGCACCACCCAGGAAAAAGCAGATGGTGGAATGGAAGAACAGAAAAAGAGGGGAGAATTGCTTGATGGAGAAAACAGAGAAAGCATTGAGTATGTGAAGCAGGTGCAAAGGGACTATCAAGAAATTAAGAAGTCTATCCAAGACTGGCATAACAGCTTGAAAGAAACTAAGGACAGACTATCTGAACTGGAGGGCAGACTTGTAATATGGGAGAATGAAATGAAAAACTTCTTAAAAATAACAAAGAAACAAACAGCAATAATACAAAGACAAGAAGATGATAAGAGGAGCCATAACTTAAGGATTAAGAACATAAAAGAAGAAGTAGGGACACAAACAAGTGAACTACAAAAGCTACTCACAGAAATAATCCAGGAGAATTTTCCTAATTTAGCAAAAGGTAAAGATACTCAGATGTATGAGGCATACAGGACCCCAGCTACCTACAACCCTAACAGAGAAACACCCAGGCATATAATAATAAAAATTCCAGAAATTCAGTACAAGAACAGAATATTAAAAGCTGTAAGAGACAAGAAACAGATCACTTACAAGGGAATACCCATCAGAATTACAGCAGATTTCTCTTCACAAACCATCAAATCACGAAGAGCATGGGGAGAAATAATTCAAGCTTTGAAAGATAATAATCTCCAGCCAAGATTGAGATATCCTGCACAACTGTCCCTGGAAATTGATGGAAAAACGAGGTGCTTCCAGGATAAAGAGGAACTGGGGGAATTTGCAACCACCAATTCAACCCTACAGAAAGTATTGCAGGATATTCTAAAAAAAGAAAAATACAAAGAACCCAGAAATAGTGGCGGGGAGGCCACAACGAATGGAGCAGAGAACAAAATGAAGAAGACAAACTGACAGCTACTGACAGAAAAAGAGCTCAACAGAAATGAGACAAAGAAGATTGGATGATAGGAACAGCTTTTTTTTGGAGAAAATGACATCTTAATAGGTAATGCTGATTTAGTACCATCTTGTTTTGAAGTCTCATCTAGCTTTTGTTCTTCTGTCTCCAATGGTCTAAACAGGTTGTATCTTATTGGATTTTGTTATGTACGATAGTATAAGCAAAAACCTTTTAAAGACAAGGAGATTATACAGAGACCATTGTTCATTTTCTGTTAGTCGATTCTAAATACTCTATAATGCTGTCATTCTCTTAAATGGTTTTACATTGTTTTGATATACTTAATGCTACAGTATATGAAGTTGTACTCAAGGACTTCAGGGAGGGAGTCAATATGGTAACTATTTTTGGGTCAGGATTATCTGGTGGTGAAACACTATTCTGCTTAAATGGTTATGTTTTGATCTGCCCTGTTTCGCTGTTATGCCCTCTTTTTTCTCAATCTCCACTCCATTATTTACTTTTTTATTTTTATCCACTTAATTAAAGGGAAAAATATAGCAGGATATAATATAGTAACCCACTTTGACTTTCTATTATCTCGATTTGAAGCCCTGTATTACTCTCACCATCTTGTTTTTGACTGAGGTTCCTCTATTCTGTTTTGCTGGATAGTATCAGGTTCGAAAGTTTAGGCATCAGCTGAGAAGATAATGAGATTCATTATAACGCCCATTCTCGTTGACTTTTATCTACTTTTGAAGACCTACAATATCTCCAATGTTTTGGTTTTGTCGGTTTTATTCTTTACGGTTTTGTTCAATTGTATTACAACTAATGATATAGGCAATTCTATTAGAAATAGTGGGAGGCATTATGGTAACCATTGTTGATCACCTTGTATTATGTTTTTATATTATCTATTATGTCCACCCTTTTGACTTGACCGATTCTGTTCTGTTATGTCACATTTGGTTTTACTCTCTTCCAAAAAAGCAATAAGAACCGTGGGAGCAATGAAACCCAAAATGTGTAATAGTCACTGTACAAAAGAGAGGAAAAGAAAGTGCTCTAAACTATATAACTGCATGTATATTTAAATGTATAAGATAGAAAATGATATCACAGAGTTTTATTGGATCATTGAACAGAACTGTTTG